TACTTTTACATAATCAGTATTTCTGTATTCTTGTCTTGACAGTCAGCATATCTGTCGGAATCGGCAACCCAATCACCAGTCACGAGGTCTATGTGCATACTCACACTACCGCAATACTGGGCAATTCTTGGGGCCGGGTGACCTTTGGAAAGGTCAAATGCTCCAGCAACAGCCTAATAATAAAAAAAGGAAAATCAAATTATATTTAAATGCCAGAAAATGTCAGTTCTGTAATTTATTCTCTTACATATAGTTCAGGTATATGAAAGTTTGATTGTTGTGAGTGAAGACTGCTAATGGAATAAACTATCAGACAAGGAAAAAAAAAATTGTGTTTCATTGACAGGCTTTATAAAGTAGTGAGTAGTAGGCAGGTAGAGTTTTTATTCAATTTTACTTTATTATTTACTTTCATGGAACTACCTGTTCAATCATGTTATTTATATCGCAGTCGTGCGTTTAATACAGACTTAATCTTAAGTAAAAATGATGATTGCAAGTTAGTCATACAGTAGTAGTCCATTTTCTGAGTCATGTCTTGTTCTCAAGTCGACTATGTCTAAGGACAAAATTAAATTTTCATGTGAGTGAATTAAATAAAATAAAAAAAAAATAATTTCATTAAATATATTGATAGGTACAGTTATCAAAAACAATTATTTTTTTTCCCTATTAGTGTTTCACAGACTGCTGAATAGGGCAATTCTCAGAAGTTGAAATGTTTCGGGAAATGCACATTAATATCAAAATTAAATTTCAACCCAATATAGCAAGCCAATGAAATTGCAGGCATTTTAGTCAAATCAAGACACGATTCATGCATGAAGTAAAATTCGTTAGAATGTCACATAGTTTGAAGTAGTAATTCACACTGTATTCATTTTACAAAACCTTAAAATGGCCTTTTCCTTCATTTGCATTAAAGTCAAGTTGAATAACAATACAGTAGAGGATATTTTTTTTTACCGACAGATAACGACTGATAACTAAGCTGCCAGCTAAATTGTTTACAGCTCTCATGGGAGTAGAACCTATGAATATTATCCAGTTGTCATGGAAACATGCTATTTGTAAATGACATGATCAAATCATGTTCAGAAGCGAAACAGCAAATTATATGCACAAATATTCCAAGACAATCCAACAAAAGAGATGATGTACAAAATAGACATTACTGCAAAGAATGTTTTATAGCAAAAACAAATTGTATGGCTGCCTTTACTGTACACATGAATTATTGCGCTGTCACTATTATATCAAAATGAATCAGTCAGATAGTCCTTGTTCGGTTCGATATACGATAAGCAGAGTCTCCGATATGCAATCAATCGATGTAGCAAATAAAAGCAATTATTAAAACCATCTTTCATCATTGCAGTTAGTATAGCAATGTATGTACATGTAGGTGAAAGTATATCAATTTCTAGTCTACTACTAATTATGTGTGCGTGTAGGAGGGCGTGGTAAACAATTACTTCTGTTTTGTGTGTTCGCACGTGTTTTCTTGGAGTATGTTGATATGCCAGGTGGAACTGAATTGTGGTGATTTTATTGCAAAACCGTTTTTTTTTTATCAGAGCTATTTCTCAGAAATCATTTTCCTTTATGTATATTATTTCAAATTACAATTCTGAAAACCAGCCCTTCTTTCTCAACTGACTACATGTAACAATAAAAAAAAAAATTAATAATTCTTTCCAGGGACCAATAAACAGACAGACCACGAAATTGTAGATGCAGCATAGAAGTTTATTAGAAGTTAAATGTACCAGCTGATAATATCTGAATACAAATCATTGTATAATAGAACCCCTATACACGAACTGAGGGTACTTGACGATATATCACATGTCAATACAAAAGCTGATTGTACATGTAGGTTTCACAATCTGTCACCACCAACAACACAAGGAGTACAAGGAAGCAAGCTGGTCATTAGACTGGCGCAGTCGAGGCGATTAACTTGTTTTTGTAGTTTAAATAAAATTAAAAAATTCGCGAAATCACGCCGACTGGTTTATTCTGCAGGAAATTCATTGCTATTAAATATTCATGAACTGCACATATTATAATGAGGTGGGCGCGGAAATACGTGCATAATGAGGTCAACATGGTAAAGGTCACACACTGCAGACCCAACATGGCGGCATGTTGAAATTCGAGTTTGTCGTAGTCGTTTCATAAAAATAAAATTAACTCTTACTAGTTACTGTTACAATCAGCCGACGTCTTCTCGGTCAGAGGTCAGTTGAAGAGACGTTGTGATTGGCTTAGATGATTGTCAATTAAAACACTCATTAACATAATTATCCGTTGAAAAAACGACGGGTTCCTGCAGTGTCGATAGAGGGCCATGCAGAATAAACCAGTCGGGTTGATTTCACAGTTACAGGTGATTTCGCGCTAACACCGCCATTTCGCGAATTTTTTTTTTTACAAAAACAAATTAATCGCCCCGACTGCGCCAGTCTAGCTGGTCATCAATATTTCTCAGTCTGATTGCTTGTCATAATTGGTTCAATTGTTTTCATAATGTATTCACGACAACCAGAATGGATCGCCCTAATTCTTTAAACCATTCAGAGCACATAATGCAGACTAAGAAAATGGCCCTGACCTAAATGTTCATTCTGTGGGGGAAAAAGTCGATTGCATTTCTACTATCACCAAGCTTTGCAAGCTTCATAAATTTATTCAAGCATTACAGAGAAAACTAATAATAGTAAAAATAAGATGAATTCTTAAAATTGCGGTAACTCCTAATTGAATTGCCACAACACGCTTGAATACATTTATTTTACACAAATTACTTGCGTAGCGTGGGACCCACATCAGACACAAATTCAGCAAAGCGACAGACACTTTAATCTATTTGTTTTCAATTGTGTGTTATGTTTGTATAAACAATTCTGTAATTCTCACAAAAATGTTGTATAAATTTACTGAGAAATTGTGAAAAGTTGGTTCACAAGAGTGTGAATATCTGTTTAAAAAAAATTGGCATATTTTGAATATTTATTATTGTAAATACAGGACAATTAAAATAAATTTCTTCATATTTTTTAATTTTCTGAAATTTTCTGATACAATACTAATTTTCTCAAATACATGTACAACATTTATACTGGCACATATTAACCATGACTTTTCTACAAGAGAATTCATCTCCAACGAAATGAAAGTCAGTATTATTGTATAAAGCCCATTTAATGACAGTGACGTATAATGAGTACGTGCCATAAACGTCTTTAATGTGTTAACACCTGGCATTATTAAAAAAATTACAAAATATTAACAAGGAAATAAAAATCATTAATTTCAATAAATAATTAAATTTGTATGAACATAGTCTATCTTTATTCAAGCAATTAACCCCAAAATGCTGACATCAAATTTTTTCCGTCTTTTTTCATCTCCTCTACTGTTTCCATGGATGAGTCAGGTACATTTAAAAGGCTTTGAGAAACGTATTTACGAAGTTATGTACTTGTATCTTCCTGTGAGTCACAATGAATCATCTTTCAATGATATATGTGGTTAGGAACACCAAGGGGAAATAATCGCAATATTTGTAATATTCTAACCAACATAATACTTGTAAAGTGACATATCTGAAATTTTTAAATTACTGGGTTGCATTATAGTGATTCAAGCAATAATGGAAATACAATTAGGGTATTGGATTTAAGTATGGTTAGTCAATATGACATTTTCTGCACATTTGACATGCGATTGCATTACACAATTTAGTGATTACTTTGTGGACACTGTACTCCAGGATGTTGACAATTATTTCCAGTTACAAATTTGTTTAGTGTTAAGGCGGATCATGAATGTCACATGTCACAGTTAACTGACATATGTTGATGCAAAAAGGATCGCACTTGTTCAGTGTTTTCACAAGATACGAGACACGAAACATTTTGCTTTATGGTTTAATTTTTTTTACCCAGGGTTGCTACTGCCATAAGAAAAAATTTAAACATAAAACAAACATTTGACTCCACTGTCATTTATGTCTCTAGTTCCACATGGATGGGAAATCGTCTCTGGATGAAATAATTTCACCCTCATATTCAATTTCTGGTGAGAACACTGCCTGTTGACAAAATATTGTATGTCAATGCAACAGGATACTAACTAGGTATGGCTACATATAGGCTAAGACTATAACAGTGTACAATTTTGTAACTGTGATATGGCAGTAACTAATGGGATATAGCCTTGTACAAGGGTACAACTAATTGTAGAGTATATACAGCCATGTAATAGGGTACAGCTGTCCACATATCAAGGTATCATTATGTAGTGGGGTACAATTATGTATTGAGTATGACAGGGTACACAGCTGGCAATGTAGCAGCGGTACCATTATGTAGTGGGGTACACTTATGTAGCAGGTATGACAGGGTACACAGCTGGCAATGTAGCAGTGGTATCATTATGTAGTGGGGTACAATTATGTATTGAGTATGACAGGGTACACAGCTGGCAATGTAGCAGCGGTACCATTATGTAGTGGGGTACACTTATGTAGCAGGTATGACAGGGTACACAGCTGGCAATGTAGCAGCGGTACCATTATGTACATGTAGTGGGGTACAGTTATGTAAGAAGATAGGGCTGGATATATAGTAGGGCACTGTTATGTAATGGGATATGGCCACTTGTTAAAAGATGTATACCACCATGTAATAGAGCACGACTAGCTACAAAAATGTATGTAGCGGGGTGCCGTTATGCAGTGAGAAAAGAGTTAAGTAGGGTGGTACAACCATGTGTTGCAGGGTACAGCCATGTTGCGGCGGGGTACAGCCAGGTGTTCCACAGCCATTTAACGGTGTGGCTGGCTAAATAGTGGGGCTACGATTATGTAGTAGGATACGGCATGGTACTGCTTGCTATGTATTAGTTGTGTGAAACAAAACGTAGGGTATGCATGTTATATACAAGTTGTATACAGACATCAACCAGGGTACAACTAGCTATGTAGCAGGGTATAGCTACATGAATGTATCAGTTACAGCTATCTACCAGGTATATTGTTCCTTCTACTGCACAATTAAGGTCACTGAGAAAAATATCAAAAGTAGTTATAAATTGAAAATCTGCATGTGCTGAACGCTGAGAGTTCAATCATTAATAATATAAGGTAGAACATTACCTGCAAAGA